AGTTGTTACCATACGGAAAGTCACCAAACAGGCCAATTGCAGTGATTAGGCCATGCTTTATTTTTAGAGTACATCTTGACCCGGTCTTTGGCTGTGCTACTAAAACTTTGAGTTTAACACTGTTCTAGAGTAAGAGTGAATTTAATCTGGTGTAACTGCTTTGCCTTGGAGGTAACGTTAATTATCATAGCCATGTAACAGTAGTTAAGTTCTGCTGGACAAAGTGAAATATTCTCCCCTGAAAATGCAAGCCGTGGCATTAACTCTGCTGACAGGGACAGTGAATCCTTTCTTGTGTATTTAAAGAATCAGCAGAAACAAACAAGGACAAGATTAATTAGGAGTAGGAGTTCATGACTGCCTCTCCAAACGAGCGAGGAACAGCGCTGAGCTAAACACAGCACCCAGTTATCCAAAACATTTCTGAATATTTTCCGTTTGAGGTCTTAGAAAATTTCCTTTGCACCCAGGTGTCCTCAAGATACGCATAAAACGCTTTTCTGGCTACCCAATGTGATGATTAACTTGTGTCCCCAGGTTTCATCATCAAGCTTTTAATCTGAGCCAGAACTCTCTGATCTGTCATCTGAGGAACTGGGAGAACTTGCAGCACGGTTTTTCCCAGCAGAAAGAACAATTCACTTGCTAAAGGCATTATGTGGGGAGATATAATTTACAGATACAAGAATCTGAAAATTTCATTGCTTATTTTGTTGCTTAGGGAGCGGCTGATGTTTTATTTCATTTTGAGGCTGGATCTTACATTTCCAGTATCCTAAATAGGACAATAGATTTCATTCAAGAACTCTGGGAGAAACTTCCATTCATTCTGACGGGGTTTGAGGGTAAATGCTGATAAGCACAATGTAGGCATTTGCCTTTTCTTAAGCCTCATCTAGACTTGGATTTGGAAGGTATGATGTAGCATATTAAAGGCACAATGTAGCTAAGGCATGGTGCTTTTAATACATAGCTTTACCCTTCCTTGTTTACAGGGCTTTATTACTACTTAGTATTTAGCACTTTCTAATCTAGAAAGGGTTAATGGTAAATGAAAAGATAGGTTACAAATCAAAGATAGGCTCATCTTGTGGTTACACTATTCCAACGGGGCACCCGCTTCTCCCTACTCACCTCCAACAGCAGATGACCTAGCGGCTCCTCGGTCATACTAGCACATATAGGCTCGCTGTGAGGTTGAGACACTGTGGGGCCACACATGGAGGTCAGGGAACGGGGCAACGGTTCTACAAGGAGACTAAGGAGTAGGTGAGCGTCCTCACCTACCACCACATCTAGACCCAATATCGTTGTCAGGAGGACCTGAAGATAGGGCGGTGTAGAAGCAGATGCAGTGCATGGATGTCACTTGCTGCCCAGAAAGGCCAAGCATGTTTTTTTCAAAACCATCAGCATCTTGACGGCCTCCAAGGCCACATGGAGAAATCCACCCCATCAGTAGGCCCAGCGCTTCTGCCACGTGGGCTCATCAGCCAGGAAGGCAAAAGCTCCACTGCACAAGTTGTTGCCTGAAGTTCTTGCATAGAGCCAGGAACTTAATTTTGAGTGGAAGAGTTTGGCAGTCATTCCCTCTAGCTATCACCCCACCTTGGAGCACATAGACTTGTTTGGTGTAATCTGATACATTTTCCTATTAGCCAAGAACTAGCGTTTAGGGCAAATCCACCATCCAAGATTAAGCATATGCTATAGAGGAGGCAGAGAGGCTTATGGTTGCCCCTTACATAAACTTATGATATATAAATTTTCATTCACCACCATCATCTCCACACTGCTGTTGATGTCACTTTGGTATGCTGGGACAATTTAAACATGGAGAAAGATCAGTGATAGTGCTATGGACAGTTTGAGAGAAAATTCACTCTTTAAGTCCTACTAAGCCATCGTGAGTGGCTAGTCTAGATCTTGGAATTACACCTCACTACCCCTCAGGCTAGACCACAAAACAGGTCCTTCGTCCCTGTAGGACAAAACTGCTCTGACTTCTAGTCATAAAGATCAGTGTTTAGCTCATGAATTTACACAAGACTTTACAAAAATTAATATTAACCCAGATGTGTGATTTGGGCCTACAGCTGCTTATAATAAACTCCTGCTTTTCACAAATGCTCCATACAAACCTGAAAGTTCATCTATTTGAATGTTGTTGAGAGCATCACTGAACTTTGCAAAACACGTAATACAAAAATATAGGTATTGTTTTTACTATTAGTTGAACCATGAGCTGCCTCTTCTTTAATCAGTTCTATTCCCCTCATGCCAGTCCCATGGATTCACCAGTCATGTAAATGCATGGGCAAGCACACTTAAAATGAGTCATTCTGCATCTGTTGCTATTTATTAAACTGTGGTTTACATCTTTGGAGTACATGGTATAATCCCTTATGGATGAGGCTTTACCTCTGTTATTGCAATACGGAATTAATTAAGACTATTAAAGTTTGTGTTTAAAGAAATGATATTCCTAACTTTTAACTGTGGAGGCAGCATTTTCATATCCATTTTCTCCTAATAGCTGTATCCTTTGGGAAGATGTGATAGACACATTTAGGTAAATATTATTCCTCCAGCACACATGGTTTCCATTGCAATTGATCTCCTGCTGTTTCCTTCCAAGCGCTTTCCTCTGTTACATCTTCCACAATGATGGCTAAAATACTGATCAGAGATAGCAGAGACAAATTGACTCCAGTAATTGTGAGTTTTAAGGACAACAACTGTTTTTATCTGTGTGTTGCATGTGCCACAGTTACTGAAATACAGTTTTTAGGTGTGCAGTGAAATTTTCACTGGAATCGAAAGTCTAAAGCTGCTTGAGGCAGTTAAAATAAAAAAGGATGGAATGAATAAAGACTAACTGGATGAGATGGGACATAAAGATAGTGTGCTATAAAGTAGCCACATGGTGCACAGGGGCTGTACAGAATATGCTTCCGCCTGTAGACTTACCTCCAGCTTGTTCAGCAGCCTGGGTGCTGCACGCACACCGGGCCCAGAAGCTGCGTCTGAGAGCTCATGGGCTGCGCGAAGCCTAAGAGTCACCACCAGCCACTGCAGGCTTGCACAGAATTACTTTCACATGCATTTAAACTGGCACTGCCATTGGAAAAGGTTTCTTAGCAGAGGGCAGCAGCAAGTGGCTGGCAAAAAGCAAGGTTGTTCTGGTGGCTGTGTTTCCTCAGATGCAACTATTGCTCTAGATGCTGGGGGGACAATAAAATGTTTTCTCCTCCTGTACCTGAGCCAGCATTCACCGAGCACCATTTGACTGCAGTAGGATGTCATCTCAAATCATGCAGAATCTGGCATATCCACTGGGTGTTATGTACCGCAGGGAGGACGGGTGCATACACTTTTAACAACACATTTGCCCCGTCTTCTACGTCTCTAGCACATGAACAGAGCTGGACATAAACATATGCCTGTGCCCCAACCGGTGGCTGTGAACATTTATCTTTGCTTTCCTCATTTCACTGGTGCAAATGTCAGAGTTTGCACCAAGAAAATGAACAAAGGACAAATCTTAGTCGCACACAGAGAGAGGCATCACACTGCTGGAGGCATGAAAGAAGGTGAGTGGAAGCAGACACACGGTAGCTCCAGTTCAGCATACCAGATACCCACCGGGACAGAGTGGAGCGTGTCATTAAACAGCCTGGTGAATGCACTAACGGGTCAGGGCTCTAAGAACGTATCCTACATTTGAAGAGAGTGGACTAAATTTCCTAAAAAAGCCATCTGGTATGGCAAAAGCAGATCAAGCAATTGGGATTCTTTCAAGCTTAAGTTCTCTTTTTATTAATATTTTTTATTATTTGTTAAGCGCTGTGTGCTCAGAACTTTCCAGGACAGGGTGATATGATCTTTGCTCACAGAATCCAACAACTGCAGGCTTGAGGCTGGAATCTGCTTGTATACAAATAACAGCACTGTACCCTGCCCCATCTGCTGACGGGTTGGACCTGACTCTGATTTGCAGAAAATAAATAATACAATGAAAATTTTATGGAAAAATCTGCAACATGAAAGGAGTGTGGCATGACTGAAACACACAGCGCTCTCGGAGCCTTGGCCTTCACTTCTTACCAGGAGAGATTTTTTTTTAGGACAGGAAAATCTTTCTAACGCAAACTGGAATCACTTCAACCTTTGAGTTTTCGTAGTCTCTCTCGTCTCTGAAATGACCCCAGGCCGGCCTTTACATTGCGGGTATGGTTCTGATTTGTGTCTCATGAGGTTGAGAGACATGGAATACAGTCTCATTACCACTCGCTAATGTGAAGTACCACAGAGCAGATGTCCGAAGCCTTGCTCAGTGTGAAACGACAGAGGACCCCTGACAGGGCCTTTCCTTCGACTTCCACAGGACCCACTGTAATGGAGAGGACGTCTGTGGCTGCCCATTTAAAAAGCATTGCCCTCACAAAGCTTGCAGCAAAGTGGCCATCATACTAAGAGCCTTCCTGTTGTGCTAAGGAGGAGTCCTCATTAACTGATATCACTGTCAGAGTAGCTGAGCCTCAGTGTGAGCAGCAGGGGTTGTACTGCATGAGAAAGCCCCCCCCCAATGGCATTGCTGTGGGTTAATAGAGCCCCAATGAGCTGAAAGGTGAGCGTCTGCATTCGGAAACACAGGACAGACTGTGAGAAGCACAGCACAACCCAGGGCAAGAGCTCAGGCATCCCTAGTCCAGGGGCACCAGGCTGCTGCAGAGGCCTGCATGGCAATATCCGCATGCAGCAGTAAGCTACAGGGAGTCAACAGCAGTGTCCCAAGAGCAGTCATTTCTACCTGTGAGCCCAGCAAGCACAGCCAGTGTCCTCCAGGATCTAAGAGTCCAAGGGGCTTGGGCATATTTGCAGGCTGCCAAGCACACCCTCAGGCTTTCTTCAGCAGTAGGTAATGCTGAGAGGTGAGTGGAGGTGAGGAACATTTGCATTTGTTCATTCGGGTACAATAAAGATACAGACGACTAAAAAACAATTAAAAAAGGCTTTTGACACCATGCTTAGAATAAACATAGCCATTCTTTACCATACAGACTAACACTTTGTACATAAATAATTTGAATGTCTCGCTCTTTCATGGAAAGTAACAGAGAAAAACCTTCAAGGTTGATACACGGGAGCTGGCATTACAAACCGCATAGGATAAAACCCAAATCCTGCATGCATGCATTCTGACATAGAGTTCCAGAGCTGATTTGTACATATCTTCCTCCTCTGTCCTGGAAGGAACTGAATCAAAACCCTCCTTTGAAGACCACACCCATCATCAACCTCTGGTTGTGGAACCCAACCCTGCAACCTCTGCCCTGCCCCTGAAATCCAGACCTTTATAGTTGCAGTGGCATGAAATCCTTGTTGGCAGCTGCAGGAGGAGCCACTGCATTCTCCAAGGTGCCTTATTCATAGGTTTTCAGAGACTGCTGAACTAACTAGGCCTACTGCAGCTGGGTCCCTTGCAGCTATTTCTATTTCTTGACTGACAAGCTGGTTACTGAAGCAGCAAGGCTAGGTATTGCACATTCTAGCAACATTTGACTAAAATTGAGCGCGTTCATGAGGAACAGCAGAGTGTGGGAACAGAGATAAACAAGTCAGCAGGGCTGTGGAGAAGGGAGCATTCTGCAGTGAGAAATCTGAGCTTTGATCAAGGAGACAGCAGCATTTGACTCAGCCTGAGCTGGCAGGGAGATCACATCCTAAAGCAAAATAAAATATGCCATTCTTTTCAGTAGATGAAATTCTCCCCAACGGTTTGTTCCTCCCAGGATCGATCGTTTTATGTGATCTCATTGTCTTTAAAGTCTTCCCCCTGTGGAAGCTGATCGTTTAATATAGACGACAGCATTAACATCCGGTATCAAACCAGTCGGACTACTCTGAAACGAGGCGAGTGGGCGTCCTGGAAAAGAAATAAAAATGCAAGTTTAACAGAGGAGATAGATAGGTTCATTTTGACCCCATGCTATTTCTCCCAAAAGACACAGGAACATAATACTTTCTCAAAGGAGGGTCGTTCTGCCCTGCTGTAGATGTGTTTTACACTCCCAGAGTACTCCAGACACTGATTGAGTTCAGTAAGTGTGCACAAGGAATGCAAAATCAGGCCCAAGAAGCCTTTATGTCTTGCTTTGCTTTACAAAGTTACACTAAGAGGGACTGGCATGTTCCCACAGCTCTCATTAATTCAAACAGCAAAGTTAAGCAGGCAGCATTTCAGAGGCCTGCCACACACTTTTGTCACCTTCGGTTGCAAAGATTTACTCTAAAAATGTGAGGAAGAAAAGCTGCAGCAAGAGAAATGTAACAGACTGCAGGCATGGTGCTGGAGGGCAAGGACCAGCATCCGAGCGCGGCATTGCAGAAAGGATGTTCTCTTCTATGTGGCTTCTTATTCTGCATCATTTTGCACAGTTTTAAGTGCAGCTCCTTCCAGTAATGCACTAACACAGCAACTAATATCCACCCTGTTAGGAGACCAGATGGGACACATCACGCAGAATTCACGCAGTCCATTGTTAGCACGAAACTGGCTCTGAGAGTTTTGTGTTGTATCAATGTGAGCGCTCTTATGTCAGTAGTTAACCATACGCCAGTTCCATACAGAGCCATGAAAGATTGTATTTTTGTTGTTTTAACAGAGTATGTCATGTGAGCTGACAAGGCATGATTCTTCAGCACTGCCACTTAAAACACTCCGTTACCTCATTTAGTGTTTTACTTTACGAGTAACAATTTAGCCCACTATTGAAGTGTCAGCTAAACGAGGTAATTTAGAACATAATTCTGAAAACATGCTAGCTATAAAAGGCTATAATCAGAGCTAATTACAGTGACATTTGTGAAATCCACTGGTTTGGGGCTTTAGCTTTGATGAAGGGGATAACAACTTGTAAGCTATGAGTCTTCCAATTATGACAATAGTAACCACCTACTTTTACACAGCTGCTTTCATCTCAGAAAAACCCACAGCTTTTTGCAAACTATATATACCAGGGGAATTGTTTCACCTACACCAAAATGAAGCCATCTTTGCATGAATAAGTAACAATACATAGCAGTGCTGTGCAAAAATTGGAGAGGAAAATTCAGAAAAATATTGCATGTTCTGAAAAGGCAGAAGAAATCCAAAGGAGAATGAAGTTTTTCTCTTACATCAACACATCTCTCCTTGCAAACGCTCTGGATCCTTGGATGCCCACCATGGCAGCCAGCTGCCTTGAGAATAAGAAAGTCAGCTTTTCTATGCACCTGTAGACCCAAGGCACTATGACAGAGGGCTTATCCCCACTTATGAATGAGGAAGCTGGGGCACCGCACGGTCATTGACTTCATGCTCCTGTCATAGGACCTTCAGCCCTGGCCGAAGCTCACCTGTCCATGTCCTCTGCTGGGTGACAATAAAACTTTGACACTGGGATTGGGAGTTGCAAATTGCGGCAGCTTCCTCAGCACTGTGCACCGAGAGCAGACACCCCAGGTGGCTGTAGGAGGGCCAGCACTTATAGTTTTCTACTTCCACAGTTCGGAAGCCCTTTAGGGAGATGTATTCTGGGAACAGAAAGATGGTATTTAGAGAAATTAAGTGCACGTTCAATGACTAGTTGCAACACTTTCTACTTTGCACTCTAGTGAAATTCTTCATGGAAATGAGATAGCGATAGATTGAATCGACCTGCTTAAACGGAGCAAGTGGAGCTGCAAAAGTAGAAAACTTCCAAATCCTTACTTTTACTTCTGCTGTCAAGCACTGGACAGCAATTCCTCAACAGATAACGATAGAGAGGCAGAGCTCTCAAGTTCCTGTAGAGAATCAATACGGTGTGAAGGGACAGGGGAGAGCCTATAGGGGCACATGAGAGGGCAGAGGCTGTAGCAGTGGGCTGCGGTGTGGATTGGCGTTTCTAGCAGGGCTCCAGAGGAGCCAACACCACAACAGTCACCTCAGCCCCAACAGCAGCACCAGTTCCCCAGGGAATCGCAGATCTGCCACATGGCAGTGTGGGGTGTGTTGGTGAACCCACACCTCACGGTGTGACCCACAGGTACAGAAGATTTAGGAACCACAGCAGAGGAAAGGGAAGCTAGATTTTGTTCCAGCAGAACATAAAAGGCTTGACAAGCCTGAGCAGGCAATGGGAAGGCTATTGTTCACTGACTAAGAGTCTCTCCCCACCTTCCCACACCTCTGGGATGGTGATCACGTTAGCACATTGCTACTGGGACAGCTGCTAAGTCAACAGGTAGGTGTCACTGGAAAACACTGGCAATTCCCGTTAAAACTGCCGGTCCTTCAGCACAAATGCCCAGATATTTTTGTTCATAAATGGGCCGATTCCAGCTCCTCCGAACACAAAGGGATTTCCTTCCTCAAGCTGCCATCACTCCCCCACCACCTCAAGAAAACACTCGGGAAAATGTAAGCCATGGGAACTGCTGGATTTTCCAAGCCTTCCAGTAGGAAGGATGATCAGCCACATCTCTGCCACAGAACTGCCTCATAAAAGCTCCTTTATCCCCATCAAACAGGAGAATGGTCTTCAGAAAGAAAAAAAGAAAGAAAAAACAAAGAAATATAGTAGGGCAGCAAGACTCTAGCTACCCTGCCACACTCGGCTCAGTCAGTGTTGCCACCCGCCCACACTTTGTGCTCCTACAATAAACCATGCTGACCGGCCAGAAGCCATCGAGTGAAACAGGGGAAGATTGCATATCAACCTGGAAAACTGTCCTATTTGTCAATAGAATAAGATGACCCTGAAGGGAGGAGAGTATGCCAGACTCTAGCTCACTTCTCTAGTCTAGCTGCGTAAGCTATAGCAAATATATCAATTCACTTAAAACCCAGGCTGATGCACATTCTCAAAACAGTATTTAGAAGCAGTGCCAACATATGTTCATATGTATGCCAGATTGTCTGTACTGCAATTACACCGCAAAACAATGCAATCAGGCATAACTCCCGTGAAGAAGCAACAAAAGATTGCTCAAATGAGGGAAGAAAAAAAAGATACTTTGGTGCTTAATTCTACTCCTTGTGACTACAGAGTGTCCGAATGTAAGAGAGATCAGAATTTGGCCAATACAACCTTCCTTGCTCCCTCAGGGATTATTACTTATAGCGTTTGAAATCATGTACCTTTTAAAAGAAGAGGTCTTTTCTGTAGATAGAGCCCAGACTTGTACAGATGTAAAACCTTTTCAAAAGCTTTCAGGGTTTCGTTTATTCCATATCGTAAATCACCTACATTTTAAGACAAATTGACAGAGATGAGTAATTCCATGAAATACCATTTATAATCTAATAAAAAAGCCTTGGTTTATGAATGTAGCTGGTACCTGTTGCGTTCAGAATATCACTCAAAGAGGGCTGCAAAGCAGGGGGTGCAGAGTGTGGCAGAAGATAGGTGAAAAAATACCTGCAAAAATCCCACAGGCTGATTAGAATACAGTCACTCAGATTCCTTAGTGACTAAGTTATCTACATTTTCCTCTGACTTCATTAGCCACATGTGACTAGTGAGTCTACTTTTGCTCTTAAATTATGTTTGAAAGCTTCACTGGCATCTCACAGACCATTCCTGTGGATGAATGCAGAAGCTTGGTCTTTACAGCACAGAGTGCAGCCAAGCACTACACTTTAGCTTTCAAATACTCAAATAATGGAGCTTTCCCTCGTTCCTACTCCTTGGGTCAATTTTTGTGCACTAAGCAATGGATTTCCCATCAACACAAGACCTATATAAAAGAAGACTCATGCAAGACCTTTTTCTTGCCCTGAAAAGATTTGGCATCCCTGGAAACGTAGAGAACCCATGGAAAGGTAGAACACTCTCTTATTTATTCCCTGCACCCTCCAGAAAACTCCTGTTCTACAAGAGACAAATGCATTACTGCAAGGTTGTAACAGTCTATGCAGGGATTCACCCTTTAACAGCAAGTCCCGCCAATAAGGGCTCCCATAATAAGACATTCTGCATAAATATCCAGCTGCCAAGACTTCCACTTTCACCTGACCTGCCAAACATCAGTGGTAAGTAGAGGTCATCACATTTTAAGGATTAGTTGGTGGTCTACATGAAGTGATGCAGCAGTCTCAGCCTCTTGCCCATTATTTGGGTGTTTCATTACTGTTCCATAGCTGCCCACAGTTTTGTTAGAGCGACACGGAGTTCAAGGGAGAAGTTAGCTAGTCCGTTCCCAGCACCAGCAGGTCAAAGTTGATGTGCTTTGGCAGGCAGCCTGCCTTGCCACTGCTTCCAGCAAACATAGCTGGTGGCTTTCAATCGTTGAGGCTTTTAGTAGGACCTGTTTGGCAAACAATAAATTCACAGGTGCAACCTTTGAAGCAAATTTCTAGAGGGCATTGGGGAAAGGGAGCAGTAGAAGAAGGATGCCTGCATTCCCCCTGGATAATATAACTAAACTATTTTCCTGCCTTATAAGGAAAATAAACTTGCTTCAAAGTGATCCTTAACTCTCCTCTGACAGAGGTGAGGGGGAAACACTGCAGGGAAGCAATGTGAGATACTACACGCTACATGGCCTTGTGTGAGTTCAAATAAGCCAGATTTTTTCCCCTAGCTAATTGGACATACCGATATGCATTGAAAAGATTCTTCTTTTCATTTATTCCTTCACATTTCCTTTTTCCTCCTTGCATGACAGTTCCTCAGTGCTGGCATCATCCATGTCTGTCACTTTTAGGTTTCCATCCACCATAACAAACTGCCTCGGCTGGAAATCCAAGAGGGCTATTGAACCCAGGGGGGAATGTGCCAAGTAAAACAGCAGTTTCACAAGACTCAGGCAAATCTGAGAAAGAGAAGATGAATATGCATGGGGAAAACAGATGAAAAACAGCTATTAAATTGGAAGTAGAACAAAGGGGAGGGCATTCACTGAAATTAAAGGCAAAAAAGCATATAGCATGTAAAAGGTAACAGGTTTTGTGCGCTACAAAATTTCTTATCAACATTGCCACAGGATTTGACTGTGGTAAGTAGTTCAGCAACATTTTTTAAAAATGCGTATACAAGAAGAGACATTTGCAGTTATCCTAACTAGAGGAGAAAGCTGTGAGGAAAACAATAGCAGCCTTCATGTTTCAGGACCTATACTGATTTGCTAGCTGAAATCAGAAGGGTTTTTTTCCTCCCCACTCTGGCATAGAATTAATATATTCTCCTCCTTTCCCCCGTGCTGCTCCATACAGACCAAGGCTCTGTGGTCATTAATACTAGATTCATGTGTTGCTGCATCACTCAGCAGTACAAATTTGGGCTCACAGTCGTGCTTCTGAAGAATTAGCCAAAGCATGTAATATATTTTATGCCAGCTTTTTGCTTTTATGTCAGCTTTCTGGCAGCAGGGAAAGGCCAGACAAGACCTGATCTGACATAAAGCCTGGTAGGCAATTTTTGAACAGACTAGAGCTAGAAGAGTGCATTTTTCCTGACCCAGCACTTCAAGTAGCTGCAGCACTTTTCATTCAGTATTGGGAGTCCTAGGATCAAATTAACCATATCATCAGCTAGGTGTGCTGCAGTCAGAGCCGTACCACGTCTCTCTGCCTGAGATAGTCATCTATGCAGGCACAAGGTTTGCTCACTTGGAACCACTCACAGAATCTCTGGTATCTGATGTGGCTCGTTACAGGGGAAATCCCATCCATTTAGATGCCCAAATTAGGAAACAGGACTAGACAGTGTCAGTCTACGTTCTGCATTAGTGTCTTGAGCAGTTGAAAGATTATTACAATCTTAACGTCACCATACCAAACCTTGCCACCAGCAAATCCAGTAACATGGGTTTCTCAGCTCTGTAGAAGGCTTCTACAGTTTTGAGAAGATGAAATGCATGGAAAGCTGCATAGAAGCCAGTATAAAATAGTTTGCTAGCAAAAGTGGGACTCTACAGGTCAGGTGAAATGATTCCGGAAGCTTTGACGCTATTTTAACTTCACTAGTGAAGCAACCGAGCTGAAGTGAACCCAGCTTCACTTCCCGCAGCTCAGTGAGTACAGCTGCCACTCTCTCACTCTGCCTTGGATGGCAAGGTTCATTTTCAACATTGGGGACCACATGCAGGGAGGAATTTTATTTTGGGAGTTTTGCTGTGTTTTTATTTTACCCAGAGAATTTCATATTGGCATTAAGGCACCCATGCTTCTACTTGATGCTCTCCTTCCTCCAGGGAAGGAAACAAGTAGCAATCAGCCCCCAACTGAGACCTTGAGGCGAAACTGTAATACAAGCCATAACCAAAATAACTGCCATGTCATAAGTCATTTATGTTCATGGGGAGCTTAAAAGTCTCGATGCGTAATGCTTAGGAGACAAGACCGGTATCCGGAACAGGGATGTGATCCTATCACCTGCAGCACGAAGAAAGCAATTTAGCAGTGTTGGTATTACAGTAATACCTAAAGGGCTAAGATCAGAAACATCATGCAAACACGTAACAGGAGAAAGGCTGCTCAGCTTGCTGCCTAGATATAGGTAACATACAGGCAACAACAGACACATAACAAGGTGAGGTGGCTTTCCTGAGTCAGTCCTGGTCTGCTAATGTGGCTGGCTATGAAAGTCATTAGTCCCTCTGCAGAGGGGACCAACAGAGGGGAGGCTAACTAAAAATACAACAGAAAACTGAGTATTATGCACCACCCCAGCCCTGAGCAAGGTTTTGCTGCCATTTCTTTCCAGCAAAATTCGTCTTTTAAGTCGCTTTAGAGAAAAGGAATCTATTGGTGAAACTCTAGACTATGACTATTTTTAACATAATTTAAAAGGAGAGAAAGCAAAATTATTTAAAGGTAATCTGCGGGAGCAAACAGTGTCAGCATGACAATCCGGTTTGCCCTGGCAGGGCTCTTGGCATTTACTCAGTCTGAGGTCTAAAAGCTACCGACAAAACTCCCTTTGTTTTGTTTTCTTACTTTGAATCTCTCTTCCCAGGGGGTCTGCAGAAGCTGAATCATCTCCAGGGGGGATCCCAGCTCCAGCATAGCTGTGACCTTTACTTCAGGATCTCCACTACTATCATAGCATCGACCATGCAGCTGCAGAGAGAAAAGGAGAAGTGTCAGAGCAGTGTGAGCTAGCGAGGATGCAAGGAAGTCCAGGACGGCTTCCCAGGCAGCAAGGGAGGTTTGGGG